TGGCCAGGGATTTAGCTCAGTGGTTTCGCCGCCTGCTGCACAAGCGCAAGGACCCAAATTCAATCCCCGGTACCAAAAGAAAAATAATAAAAAAAAATAAAAAAGAAAATAAGTGGCATTTCACCAATATGGAAATGTTTCTAATAGAATATAAAATCTGTTAAGCAATTTTCCAGTGCATTAGGCTGCAATTGCCTAAGATGGGTATTCCTTTCCATAGTAACCAAACATCACAGCAATTATACTCTTACAATGTTCCTGCATGGAAAGTGCTGGTACAATTTGGCCTATTTCAGTCTACTTTTGTACTCACTTCCATATGTGACCTTATCGTCAAGGCCACCTCTCAATGATCTACCTGGGGGAGGATTCCTAGTGTGAGGGCCACCCAAGCTTTGTTACTCATTCTTTTTGGCAGCTTGTATGTGGCTGGAAATGAGAAAGCTAACCAGCCCATTTTCTTTAGAGCTGGCTTTAACAAAGCACGAGGGGACCGGAACTCTTGGCTCTGGGTGAAAATGACCAGTCATGATTCACAGAGAAGTATCAGTACCTTCTTGCCTACTTTTCTGGTCCAATTTTTACTGATTCAGAAGGCCCAAAGACCATGACCCTTAAGGAGCACTAAAAAATGTGGAAATGTTCTTGCTCAGAAGCTACTTTTGAGCAGGTTTTTTTTTTGGTACCAGGGATCAAACTCAGGACCTTGCACTTGTGAGGCAGGCAGCAGCACCACTGAGCTAAATCCCCGGCCCCTGAGAAGCTACTTTTGAAAGTTACACAGCGTGAGTCAGCTACCAGCCAGATCCACTACCCTCCCTTGGCCTGCACTTTTCCCATTTAGACCAACCCTTTTGGCAACTCTGCCCTGAGCAGCAACCCAGAAAACGGTGATATATATTTGTGCAAGCCATCAAGTAATATATAGGGAACTGCTACAACTGTAGCAGGAAAACAGATCTAGAACATTCTGAATGTAAACATTCTAGACTGATTCCAATTACTTTATGTGGCACATAACAAAGTACTACCATAGAAACTGACAATGCTCTGGGAATGGAAGAGTAAGAGCCAAATGGTGACAAAGGGCTTTGAAGCCAGGCAATCTCAAGTTCGAATCTCAGCTTTCCTCCATATTCACTGTACAAGCTTAGCCAAGTTACACAGCATCAGTCAGTTCCCCTGCTTATAAATAAAAGTGGACAGCATTAACTCAACAAAGCTGTTTTAAGGTTAGAATAAGTGTAAAAAGCAGCTGAAAACTGAAAGATGGTAGCTGCAATTACTAATGAACACACTGTGTAGTATTAATGAACCTGCACGCTAGGACTGCTGCTAAGCCCTGGGGATGAGCTCAATAGGAGTAAGGGGTCTTAGCCTCAATTCTGCTTTGTTCTGACGCTGTAACAAATCTTCAGCATGTCTACTAATCACCTATAACCACGTCTTCCTTAGGTGGATCTCAGCCTCCACATGCTACCCATTCCGTTCTAAGAAAAGCATCCTTGTTCCTGACACTAACTTTGATATTTTCTTCCTAAATATATTAACAGTTGTAAAGAACTCACTTTGTACACATCACTGCCCTCTAGTGACTAGAATAACTCTAATAATCTGTTCAACTCTTCCCCTTTTTGTAAAAAACAAAACGCAACACAAAACCTGGTTACTTACCAGCAGGAGGAAAACCCATCTTCCAAGGAAACAGGGAGCCTACCAGTTATAACAGATCTTAATCAAAACAAATCTAGCTGTGGTCTAGCTGCAGCTCAGAGCGCAGGCAGGCCACTTATATGTTATTTCACACCTTGTTTCTAAAGTGTTGGGGGAAAAAAGTGTTGGCCATTTTCGGAACGATTAGTACTAACAGACCGAACATCACCAAATGTAAGAATCTGATCTCTGTAGTCTTATTTTATTTCTTAGTCCCTTCCCCCCATAGGCAGATATTTATATAATGTGACGCAGACATTTTCAAGGGAAAAAAAAAAAGAATATGGTTCTTTGTTTCTTTTTTTTGGCACTGGGGATCGAACTCAGGTCCTTGTGCTTGCGAGGCAGGCGGTGAAACCACTGAGCTAAATCCCCGGCCCCAAGATTATGGTTCTTTAAGATAGAAACTTTGGGGCCGGGGATTTAGCCCAGTGGTTCCATCACCTGCCTCACAAGCACAAGGACCCGAGTTCGATCCCCGGTACCAAAAAAAAAAAAAAAAGCAGCTAAGATAGAAACTTTGTATCCAAGATTCTACTCCAGGTTAAAAATACTAATTGCTTGGCTGACAACCTGAAAATTGGCCTATTACCTGTTTAAGGACCAGTCAGCTTTAAATTCAGGAAAACCTCTAACCTTCCTCACAGGGAGATGGACAATAGTAGCTAGTGTTTCCACACCAGCTCTGGTGCTTAAGCCTGTGCCTGTTGTGTTCAACAAGACTCTTGCGAAGTGCACTCATTATTTGACCCATGAGACAGAGTTTGTACAACTGAGTGTAAGTATGTACACACACCCTTCTCTGCCAACAGAAAAACCACCTGAAAGGCAAGTCCCAGAGGAGGCTGAGCAGCATGCCACCTCTGTGTAAACAATACCAAGTCATAACAAACCCTGACCCAGAAACAGCTGGGAAAGGGATCTAAGAATACTTACTGGTAATGAGTAGGTGTTCAAAGTCAACTCAACTTTCTTGTTCCTTCAGTAATTAAGTGCTGGATAGTTATAAATTCAGTGAGGAAATGGTACACAGATAGAGGGCAGTGTTAGTAATTGCAAATCTAATTTGGTTTGAAATCCTAAGAGTAGAACTTCAGATCAATTGCCTCAGACTTTCAACTTACAAAAACCAATATACAATTATCAAGTCTGGGTGAAGCATCAAGCCAAACCGGAAAGTAGACATTTGAACTCCTCCCCCGTTCCCCTTCCCTAACAAGACTTCTGGGTCTATCAGCCACACCTTAGTGACACAGCTGCCCATTCCTCAGGTGCTTCTTTAGTAATGACAGCACTGGTGTTTGAACTTGCAACAAATATTTCAGAGTTTGGGAGATTCTGGGACCATAACTTTAACCCGGCCTTCCATAACAGTCTTTTTACTTTCTATTACAGAACATGACACTGCAATAAAAGCAACAAAACGCTTCAGTCTTTTCACTTCTGCAGAAGCCAAAACAACTTCTCCAATGTATAAAGGAGCTGGAAAGTTAATTTCCTGAGAAAGAAATACACAGCCTGGCCCCGGCATTTTAGTACCCAAGAGAGCCGAGATTAGTCCATTGATCAAAACTCCATGTACAATCGTCTTTCCAAACTTGGTGTGTTTTGCAAAATCTTCATTTAAATGCAAGGGATTAACATCTCCAGTTAATTCGGAAAAGGCAGCCACATCCCTCTGTGTGAAGACCCTGCTGAGTTCGGCCCGGTCTCCAACCCTCACATGCAGGTGCTCAAAGGGCTGTCTGTTCAGTACTGGCTGATTCAAGCAGACTCTCCTCTGAAGGCTACCCCACCAAAGCTGATGGCTGGGTACTACTGGGAACATCTTCAACATCTTCAAATTTCATCAATGGCGTCTTTCAGCCTGCTTCTGTTTTCAAACTATGAAGACATCAAAAAATACTTTTGGGAGCATAGGAAAAGTTTCCAAAATTGAAGACTATTCAGTCCAACACTAGTTCTCTACTATTACCGGATAATGCAAGGAGAAAGGGAGAAACCTATAAAAGAAAGAATAGCATTAATACAGTGTTAGGAGAAAATTTTACTAAAACACCGGGCAATGGAGAAACATGTCCGGTTTTAAGGGATAAATAAAGCTACTCTAGTAGCATTTTTTGTTTGTTTCTGGTACTGGGGATCAAACTCAGGACACTGTGCTTGCAAGGCAGGCGTGTTGCCACTGAGCTACCTCCCCTGCCCCTTCTAGTAGCATTTTAAAGAGCATTTAGGGAAGCATCCTTAGTTAAACAAGGAGTCACAAGCTCAGAAAGCACATACCAATGTGTAACACTAGGCATAAATATTAAATGAAGTTAAGCCTCTACCATAAGTGTTCCAAGTGTGATCCCCAAACATTCCCCATACAATCTAAACTCTTAAGTGCTTTGTCTCACATTTCCAAAAGCCATGAAGTCCTGGTTGCTAGATGTATTAATTACACTAGCCTTAATGAAGCAAGAATGAGACACTTTGACTAAAATCAGATGATCCACACCCAGCCTTGCTTCTAATATGTGAAGGAACAGCCTTTACCTGAATCACTCTGCATGCACATTTTTTGCCTTTATAGGATCCTAGCAGGGTCAAAGAGCTCCACAATCGGACCATACCACTGCAGAAAGATCATGAAAAAAGTAACTAGAAGACTTTCTTACATCTCCCTGATATTTTTCTTTGCTATAGTCCCTAAAGTCATTGAAGGCATTGTTTCTTTTTCTTTCTTTTTTTTTTTTTCACCAGAAAACCTGATTTAAGAGAAAAAAGAAACCTTAGAAGTAAAAGCATGGTGTATCTTCACCGGCTCAGAAAAAAAATGAACATAAAAGTATTTCTAAAATATACATTTTTAACTTTGCAACCACAATGATCAACTGGGAAACTCCGATTTTAACCAAATCACAGGTTCTGCTCTCTCTATAAGGCCATGGCAGATGAATGTTTATATTCATTCCAGTTTAAATTTCTCAAAGTTGCTCAGAGTTCAGGGCCGGTGATTTAGCTCAGTGGTTCCACTGCCTGCCTCGCAAGCGCCAAGGTCCCGAGTTCGATCCCCAGTACCAAAAAAAAAAAAGTTGCTCAGAGTTCACAATTGCAAACTTTTCTCATCCATACAGCGAGCACTTTTGTTCTTCATCAGTCTCTCGGCCTTGTTCTCCCAGAAGAGCGATGGCGAACCTTTTAGAGACTGAGTGCCCGAACTGCAATCCAAAACCCACTTATTTATCGCAAAGTGCCAACACAGCAATTAAACCTGAACACTGAGGTTTTAATTTAGAAAAAACAACTCCTACAACATGTGATGTCGTCACAGTGGGCTCTGCATGTCTGCCGTCCCATGTGCACCCTAGGTTCACCAGGGAGGTCCTGGAGTGTTCCAGTCATACCTGCTACAGACTCTCAAGATGGCTGATGAGGTCTTCTCTTCATAGGTCAGGACGTCCACGGGCAAAGCAGCACCAACCTATGTACAGGATTATGCTATTAGCTGACTATTATCAACATTACTCTTGAACTCTAATAAATCCTGCCAAGTCTTTGTTTTTGAGGCTTATCTTCTCAAAAAAAAACCAGTACTTCATTTAATGGTGCTAGCAATCTCACCGGCTACTTATAGCTCTCTCTGCCTGGAATGTTCCTCTGCCTCTACACACAGCTGATCCCTCTTCACCCCGCATCTTTAAATTCTTTCTTCTCTGATCCTAAAAATTAGGCTCCGTCTTCTTGCTATGTTCTTTCCCATACAGGACACATATTTCCTCTTACCATTCTCATTCTCTTGCCACTAATTATTTAACGTATTTTCCTATGACAAAAATCAAGACCATTAGTCCAAGAGACAAAGGTTACATTTGTTAATAGCTACAGCTTTGAAACCAGGTTTTATACCTGACACATACAAAGTGCATAGATCTTTTTTTGGTACCCGGGATTGAACTCAGGACTCTGTGCTTGCAAGGCAGGCACAGTGCCACTGAGGTAAATCACCGGCCCTTGCATAGATCTTTTTAAAAAAATATTTTTATTTAGAAAAATTACAGGCTCACAGAAGACTATAAAACAAACTGCAGGGAGGTTCTGTACATCCTTCACTGTGCCCCAATATCCACTTGCTGCATAATGATAGTAGAGTATCAGAACCAGGCAATGATTTTACCTGTTACATATGTACTCATATTTATATGTGTGTTTTCTTACCACATAGGTTGCTGCACGTAACTACAGCCATCAATCCACACCAGCACAAAGCTCCCTCACTCCACCAATTCCTCCTCCCTATCCCTAACCCTTGGCAAGCACTATTCTCTCCCCAGATTATTTATTATTTCAAGAGCAGTACACACATAGATTCACTCAGTATGTGATCTTTGGGAGTAATTCTCTGGAGATTCAGCCAGTTGTATGCATCAATAATTCGTTCCTTCTTGTTGTTGAGTATGGTACTAGTTTATTCACCCACTGAAAGACAACTTGAGTGTTTCCCAGTTTCTGGTTATTACAGATGAATCGACTATGAACATTTGTGATGGGCTTTTATGTGAACATTAAGTTTGAATTTCTCTAGGATAAATGTCCAAGAGTGCCATTGCCAGGGGGTTTGTAGGTACATGTTTTATGATGCAGAGTAGCCGGACCATTTTATGTTCCAACAGCAATGTATGAACCATCCAATCTCTTTACATCCTCGCCAGCACTGAGTTATCACTATTTTTTTATTTCAGTCATTCTGCTAGGCACACAGTGATACCTCACTACATTATTAATGTATGTTCCCTTAATGGCTGATGTTCTGAACATCTTTTCATGAGTTTCTTTGCCAAATGTACACCCTTTTTATTTATTTTGGTACCAGGGATCGAACTAGGGACCTTGTGCTTGCAAGGCAGGCGCCAGAACCACTGAGCTAAATCCCCGGCTGTATACCCTCTTGTTTTGTTTTTGTTTTTTTGGTACCGGGGATTGAACTCGGGACCTTGCGCTTGCGAGGCAGGCAGCGGAACCACTGAGCTAAATCCTTGGCCCTGTACACCCTCTTTAAAGAAATGTCTACACACACCTTTTGTTGATTTTCTGGTGAATTTTTTTTTTTTTACTATTGGGTTTTGAGGTTTTAAAAAACATATTCTAGGGGTCAGGGATTTAGCTCAGTGGTTCCGAAGCCTGCCTCAAAAGTGCAAGGTCCCAAGTTTGATCCCCGGTACCAAAAAAAAA